TTCTGGGAGTTGAAGTCCACTCATCTTAAAGTGGCCAAGTTTGGACAACACTGCTCTAATCTATCCAGAGGTTCTGGCGAGGGGTGTCAAGAGGAGCAAATCACGAAAGTAGTGGACTGAGGGAACTCCCATCATTAACTAACATTGGGGATATTTTGTTAGCACAGAGATGGGGAATTTAGCTATTAAAATGCCACAGAACTACCTTTCCTGGCCTCTCTCACTATTGGCCATGCTGAACAGAGCTGCTGGAAGGTGTAAGTCAGCAACATCTGCAGAGGTACAAGTTTACTTGAGCTAGTAAAGCTGGGAAGAGGCACAAGAAGTTGGGGGAATCCCAGATTTTTATCTCAAGTATCTGATCAGTATTGTAAAGTTCTTTGGGCAGAGAGGCAGGAAATCCATGCTGGAATGTCCCATAATGGCCCCCCCCCCCCCAAATAGTACTAGCAAATACAAAAGGAAGCTTGGGAGATCAGATTGCTGTCTTTGCTCCTGAAGGAAAGGGAAGAAAATGTGTAGAAAAAGCACAATCATTTGGGAGCTTTGTCAACAAGGCAAGGTGGTCAGGAGACTACCAAAGTAGCCCAGAGTTAATCAAAAAGTCAAATTGAGATTCACAGTAATAATTAGGGTGGTCAGAAGCTAATTCAGAGGTTGCTCCAGCATGGGTGGCTGGACACTGTAATTTTTAAGTCAGTTCTTTCAGGATCAAATCCAGGGTGACTTGCAAGTAAATCTGGGTGTTTGGAAAGAATTCAGTCTCATGAATTAGGCCTTATTTCCCAAAAGATCATTATATACAAGGAGGCCTCTTTCTTATTCCTTTTTCTGTTTGGTAATAATTTATTTATAAAAAACATTTATAAAAAAATAGCAAAGAAAACAAAGTTTGAAAGAGACATTGTGGATAAGAATACAATATCGTAATGATAATAAAATTTAAAATTGATGATTTCATTAATTGATTAACTAATCAAATGCACAGAACTAAATTCATTACATCATCTTAAAAATAACTAGAAGTCTTTCTAAAACTATAATTACTTGTTGCTCCAAAGAAAGATGCACATAACCACATAAAGGAGAAAGAAAAAGAAAAAAGGGAAAAGGAAAGAGAAAGAGATTAAAAAAAGAGAAAGATCAATAAAGACAATATTGGGAAACTACATAGTTTCAAACTCCCTCCCATTCTACCCAACTGATGATTATATCAACATATTTATAAACATTAGAACTTACTAATTACTGAATTTTTTTCAAGGAGGCCTTTTTCTCAGTCCAGGGCTTTTCTGTTGTTCAGCTGCCAATCCTCGCAGGACTGGGGGACTCTTCTGGTTCAAATCAGGAGACTTTGGTTGTGTTGAATTCCCAGCTCACTGAAGCCAGCAGCTGTTCTCAGGGATCTAAGTTTGGGAAGGTCTGATTCATCCTTCAGCAGACCCCAGAAATGAATGGGAGTGTGGCTAAAATGCTGACCTTGGTCTTAGACTAAGTCCACCTCCGTCATGGAAACTTATTGGCAAACTTTCTCTCAGCCCAACCTACCTCACAGGATTGTTGTGAGGAAAAAGGAAGTGTTATGCAAACTGTCCAGAATTCCTGGAAGAAACTCAGGATACCAGTTTAACGAAAGAATAAGAGCTTTCCCTAATGAGAACCTGAACTGAATGTGACACCCTCTCAGTCAGGACATGTTTGCCCGGTTTTGCAAAATGCTTCCGCCTTGGAGCTTGTCTCACTATTCCGCCCAGTAGAGGGCAGGGAAGAATATGTGCATGACACACATATCAAACAATTTTAGGAAGGCTTGAGTGAAGAACAAGAGCCTGTGTGTTTGTGTGTGTGTGTCAGGCTATTCCATACAGGGCATTCCCTAGAGCACAGCATTTCAAATGAAGTAATCTTCATGTTCATTTCCTTCAGTTGTTCTAATGTTTCTGCCTCCAAAGGATCTGGAAAGAGAAATGAATGTGCAACAATTGGAAAGGAAAGTGGTTTAAAATGCAACTTAGAAGGGTAATTACATCTTTAGGGGAAAAAACTGGAGGGAAAAAAGTGATTTTAAAAATTACAGCGTAGCCTCCCTTCCCAAGAGGAACGTTCCTGTTCAGAGACCCAGGCCAAGCACCAGGCTGTATCCCCCAGGCCTTCAGCTTTTGGTAGGCACTGAACGTACATATTCGTATGGCTGGATTACCCTTTTTTACCCCCTTAGATTAGAAAATATATCTTTTCAGAAATCTTAAAATATCTTGCCCCCATTATGCTGTTACTTCATTCTTAACCTGTTTTGGGATCTTTTTCACTAATCATCTGAGATCATTCCTAGAGAGAGGGACAATGTTAATGTTACATCATATCATGGTACTCACTCAAAAGCCAAACCACTAGCTATGTTTGGACAACGTGCAGAAAAGTATCCGAGTGTGTGTCAAAAAAGTCAAGATGGTGGCTGTGATTTTTTTTTTTTTACATGCCTTCCCCATTGATGCCTCTGCAAGTGCTACTGGCCACTGTCATTAGCTGCCATCGTTGCCATTCCCTTGCATCACCAGCTGAGGATGGAGCTTGCTTGCTCTCAAACACTCCCTCCTGCTTCACCCCACTGCCTTCCTCTGCACCTGATCTGTGATACATCAGCTATGCTAATCTTGGATGAAGATTTGGGGCTCCTTCAGAAGAGCAGGAGGATCTTCTTCACAATTGCTGCCGGCTTGTAGCATCTTCATGCCTGTGACCTGTAGGTGGGAAAATTGACAAGTAGCTAAACCAGCCCTTCTACGCATCCATCTACACACACAGCAAGGAGAGCGATGGTTGGCTGTTTCTCCTGCTGGCAGGTGATGTTTGATGGGAGGCAAAATGAAGCTAGGGGATCTACCAGTAGGTACCAAGGCAAAGTGAGGACTGGTGACGAAGGCAGCGCAATTTATGCTCACACACTTTTGTGCTAGCTCATGGACTGCAGGAGAGCACTCTGGCATGGCCATCTGTCTGTGCTGCAAGTCATAACGTGGTTGCTTTGGTTTTGGCTTAGCACACAGTACTCTGCAATCCCAGCCGTTGTAATTTGTAAACCATGGGGTACAACTATCAGCCCTTCAGGGTAGACCAGACTAAGAAACCGATGCCATACTTTTATTATAACAGTTAGAGTAACAGCATCTTGCAAGTCTAAATGTGCTTCTCCCTCCTTCCCTTTATCTTCATGTGAACTGGGGAGGGGCTGGTCTGAGATGTTTACTCAAGTTACTTTCTTGCCCTGGGATCAGGCCCCTTCTAATCTAACTGTTGCCTTGGTAGTGCCTCTTCCTTCTGTCCTTCAAGGCCATTCCTTTTTTCCTTTACAATAACTTAGCATGTTGTGCAAATTCAACCAATTTTGAGTAAATAATTGTTAAACAAATCATGGCTTCATGTAATGTTTGAACTCAATCACACACTTTGGTTGTGTGTGTACATACATACACATAGAAAAGTGCCTGTGTGGGTCAAAAGAGTCAATATGGCGGCTATGACGTGATCAAAGCCACCATCTTGAGTCTTTTGCCCTCCCTGAAGATGCCCCTGCTCCCACATATAACTCACTCAAAATAATACAGTGGTACCTCGGGTCACGAATGCTTCTGTTCATGACCAATTCGGGTCACGAACAGCACCGT